CAGCTCGCCGAAAATAGCTCGTTTATTTTAGCTCGTTATGGATGTTTTCTCTTATCAAACGAGATTCTTTGAATTGTTCATATATCTTAACCAATATTAATCTAGACGTCAAATAGGTGCCAATCTTTACATAGAACCAATTGATTCTTCTACAATTCTTCAGTAATAACTTACAAGCGGCAAAAGTTATTCCGATACCGCTCGTATAAAGAGTGGTGATCTGTTTAGATAAGTTACTGACCGGTAGCTTAATTATGTTGTTAGAATTGTAAGATATAAAGTTACAAAAATTATGTTTGAAGTGGTAATTGACGGGAAAAATGTACAAGAAGACTATAATTATAATTGATTGAACAAGTTTAGGTACACTAACTGTACTTAATATGAAAGATATGTCTTTAGATGAACTTGGTTTCAAACGGAAACTCGGCAAGCTGCGCAAATAAGTTATTTAAACTAATAAATTGCTAAAATCCAATGATTTAATCAGTTTATTAATTGCCTTTCGATTCTGTCAAATATTCTGCAACTATAAAACTATTCTTCAACTAAACTAAATATTATCTTAGTTACTATTACTCTTTAAATGTACCTATATAGTTGAATTCATCTTTCATTCTTTAAATTTAAATTTACATCAAATGCCCTATTTACTATTATATATTAATCATAGCGGAAAAGAGGAATACATTTGATTTTTTATATTGCAATATGTACTAATATTTTACATCTAAAAGGTATATTTTTGTTCATTTGATGTGGGTTCACTTTACTCTTGTGTAAAATCAAATTAAATTTTAATACTATCTTTGAATAATTTTAATAGTTTAACATCTTACGAATTTACAAACTAAAATTAAGTAATTTTTTTTCCATTTTTTTTATACTGTCTTTATAAATTTTGTGACCAAACCTTCCGAATTTCAAACCGCGCCGAATAGCTCCACTTAAATTAAGGTATTGATACTATGGATTTGGCTTGAAATGGTTTAAGCCCCCCTTATTGTAGCTGTTAGATTGGATTTTATTTTTAAAGAATTCGATTAGAAAATTTGTCGGACCATAAAAGTAACAACAGCACGAATAAGCGGGTACTAAAAATTCCACATTATTTTCTGGGGCTCATGCACGTTGGTGCAAGCCTCGTCATTAGACACACTTTTGGCTAGAAGAATCGTGCAAAAAGAGTTCGCAATCGTATCAATGCAATCAAAACTGGTTCCAGGCAATGAAAAAGTTGATCTAATTAATTGTTACCAAGCTACGTGCCGTTCGTTCGTCACTGGTGGCTTATTTCAGCCATAACACTGTACACTGAACACACAGTACACATAGCGAACTTAGTATAATGTTTCTGTAACACAAACAAAAAAAAAAATAAACTTAAATAAAAACAAAGTCGCAAGCAGATATAATTCATTTATATCGGCCAACGTAACGTTAACTTTTTTACAGTAATTTTTACATTTGTTTTTTGATTTATCTACGAAAGTTCCATGGTAGACTCGCTTTAAAATAGACAAATAATTTAAATAGGAATTTGTAGATCATCTCATTCTGATCAGTTCGGTTATTTTGGGCCATAAAGTTGAAACGATTTTGTACATAAATTACGATTAAATTTGTTGAAGGCGGAAGAATAATTTGAAATAAAATTTTAGATAATTTAGTCATAATTTCAACGAATTAGTGTCTATTAAAAAATTTTGTAATTGAGTCATTATGTTATTTGAAATATCTAAGTATGCAGACAAATGGTGTATTAAAATGCAAAATGTATTATACATACATATATCATTGTCGGAGCGTGGGGGGACTTTCTCATTTCTGTGACTAATCTTAAAATAATAAACTTAAATATTATTTACTGAATCCTACTTATTATATATTAATAAGAAACACGTTTCTTTTAACATATCATAAAAAACACTGAGTATAACATTTTTTCTAATATGAATGTTGTTTTCTTAATGTACCTTACGAGTAGAGTAATTATCAACTGTTATAACTGATGTGTACCTCTTAAAACGATCAGAGATCCCTTGCTGTCATGTGCATGGATAATGTAGGTTTCAAAAAAGTGAATAGGTTCAACTGTTTTTTTGAGTTTTCTTGTTCAGTTTTTTTTTTCAAATTCCCACTCGTAAATTTCGCTACTCGATATTTACTTTAAGCAGACTCCTTGGGTTTGGCGTGTGTACCTACCCGAAAGTCGTTACGGATACTTCTGCCAACAATCCTTAAATGATGGAACCGGATAAATAAACGCAATTTGGCTGCGAGACATCTACAGTCTGCACAAATTGACTTTTAGATAAAGTATGATGAACTATCGCTTCGGTGACACAAAGTGTGCGTCTTATTATGGCATTTACCAAAACTTGATGTACCTTCCATCATTTTTACGACAGAAAAAATAAAGTTTTAGCTATGTAAGTGGACATAGCAGTAACGATATAGTTAGTCGACAAACTACACAGTTACATATTCTAGAAGTATATAAATCATATTATACTTACCTTCAAATTTCTAAATCTGAGCTGAATCTGATTTTAAAAAGCTTCAAATTATAAGGCTATAAAATGCACAGAATTCGAGCCATAGCGCAGAAATTATAGCAATAAAAACCAATGAAAAGAAAATATTGCGAAATAAAAAATTTGACAATTCACACCTATTGAGATGGATATGTTTAGCAGCCAGTTGATCGAATGAGTGATTTTGTCCTCATGAAATATATGGTATGTGCCCCTTTGTCGGATTAGAGTGTTTTTCTAAGTCCGACTCCTCTAATGAAAGATTGTATAGAGCATACCTTTCCTAGTCTTGAATCCTTATGTTCCAAGAAATAATATCCTAGGTGTTTCTTCCGCTTATGCATGAGTGTCGGACACTCCCCGAGTACATGTTATGCGGTTTGTCTCTCTTCTCCATAGTATTTGAAGTCTGATTTGAAGTATTGAAGTCTGAGTTGGATTGGATTCCTAACTTTGTTAGGTGATTATTCAATCTACAGTGACTGGTAAGTAATCTCGTAATAATTTTTAGGTTATTCTTTGTTTGTTCTATGCAATTCTTAAAACGTTTTAGGTTGTAAGTTACTAAAAGTGTTTTAGGTTGTGATATTCTCGGTAGTTTTTTTTCTTTTTTCTCTGTGCCGTTCAGAAAAATGGATAGCGCTCATTTGCTTAGACCGCAAAAAGGTTCTGGGCCTATCTTTATTGAACCTACGCCTCTTCTTGCGCCATATTAAGTGCACCTGATTGTTCTAACCAAGTATGTTCAGTTTTTCAATGCACTCTCATACCAGTTTGGATGTCAACTGGTATGATATAGTGCCATTATAGCTGCTTGGCTTCAGTTAGTATTGCAATTTCAGGGTTCCGGTAGTTGCGTTCAATGCACTGGTTTCTTCCCACTGCTTCCGAGTATCTTTTGCCTGTTCTGTGTACATCAGATCTGGCAGTCTGTGTACCATATTACCGTGTTTTCTCTTATTACTTGGGCTTTAGGCAAGCGTTCCAAATTCTTTCTGTTATCAAGTTCAGTTTTGAAGTTTTTTAAAAAGTTATACTTTACAACCATCCTGTCAGTTGGTATTTTAGTTTTTGGGATTTGTTTAGCAAGAATATCAAGTTTCTCACTATTGACTCGTCATCTTGTTTGTAATTACTCTTAGAGCAGCCCACTTCGCCTGCGATTGTATAAGGATGTGAAGAGGTGTGAGCTCTAGGAGTACTTAAGTTGATGACGTAGGACATGTTCGCATTGCTTCCATTATACTTACCTAAATAAAAACTAAAAATACTTGCAGGATTTTGAAGATTTATTCGTAATCTATTGTATCTATGTGTTTTTTTCAATTTTTTAAATTGAATTTCTTTAAATTAAGAGATTACTGTTAAAGCAAAACCCACTAAAATATCACTCTTAAAATTGTTTTCTGAATTATTTTTCAAATTAAATTTATTCAAATAATTTTTGTTTTAACAAATATTAATTAAATATTTCGGATGTTAATTGACTGGTATGTGCTTTCAAATCATTTTTTTTTATAAATAATGAATCATAAATAATGGGAATAATGTTATTATATTTTAAATATGAATAAATATATATAAAGCAAACCTATTATTCGCATCGAAAAAAAAGCTCAAATAATTACACAAAATTTTTAAACAAATTTTGACGAATTACCAAGTTATTTTGTTCCTAAACCATATTACTTTATGTGACTAATTATTTAAATTTGTGGCATTAAGTTTATTTAGTAAATGACTTGTGTTTCGGTTTTATTTATGATTTTTTCAATTTTTATGTTTCACGTCTTAAATGACAGCACAGAATTTGTAGATTAAACACTTCATTTAACAACAAAAGCAAACACTTTTCAACTTCAAATAAAGCATTTCACAGATCATGACATCCCACCGTGCACTGACAAAAATAAAAAAAAAATAAATAAGCACTGACAAACAAAAACAAACAAAAACAAACAAAAGCAAACAATAACAACAACAGAAACAAAAACAGAAACAATTGCAAAAGTCATCAATCCATAAAGCACGTGCCCACATAATTACCCACAAAAAGTAAACACAGCACAACCCATACGAAGATACATGCTCACTGTAAAGTATCTTACGGAATGATTTTTACAACAAAATGTAAAAAATGAATGAACGAATAATAACGAATTCCACTTAACGAAACTCATCGCAACTAATTACCATAAACCGCTTTGGCGCGCATCACGTTTTTACCGCGCTTATTAGCCGTTTTGCTTTATGAGATTTCGAAGCGACGGATTCAGATATTCTGACGTCAAAACGTGTAAAATCAACAAAGCTGAACCGCTGCAATTTCGCAGCAGTCTGCAATTGTTGCATAATTAATAAAGCAAATTTACAACTTTCAACAGCAGCATTTTTTATAGATTACATCTCTTCAGCAAATTAATTTTATTCATTTTCTAATTTTATTTATTTTCAAAATTACAGATGAAGTCGTTGGCCTTGCACTTGCTTGCAATTCTGTTGCTAGGATCATTGCAAATCACCGCAAATAAATATTTCTTGACAACTGCGGCAGCTAGCATTTCCGCATCAACATTTCCAACAGCATTACCCACAGCAACAACACAACAACTACCTACATTACATGCGCCACATCGTTCATCACAGCCACCAACCACTCTAATGACGACGAAACCAAACACAGAAGTAACAACAGCCGCCATACCAACAGCAAGCAGAAGACAAAACCAACAGACGTTGCACGTAAGACGAATACCGGCACAAGCCAACTCAATGACCAGCACTAATGCAGATGCAACATCGGTCATGTTTTCTTCAGCAAGACTTGTGCGCAATGCAAACATTGCCAACATTGCCAACATTGCCAACACCACAAATCCAAACGGCGTACGTCCAAATCGCAGTCTACAAAACACAGCGACAGCAGAACAACGGAACAGCAATGCTAATAACAGCGAAGCTAAAACCAAAAATCAGCAGCCTGAAAGCCGCCGACAACGTTACAGGCCAAATAAAGACAACACTAATAGCAGTAATACGGCTCAAGTATCGTCTACCACAGTCACGCCGAGAACATCACAGTCCACGGCGGAACGCTCTTCCAGCGAAGAGCACGATCAAGCAACATTTGCTTTGAAGACAAGCGGTCGTCAGCCTAGAAAACTAATATTGGCAGCAGATAGCGGTGATGTGTCTGGGAAGCATGCGGCGCACTCCATAAATTCTACCGATTCCCAACAGACGCTGAAAACGTGAGTTTGCCATTTTGTAGTTGTTAACGATTTTCGATTCATTTTTGATTAAATTGATATTTGGTGTTTGGTGTTTAGTGTTTAGTGCTTAGTTTTAGTTTTCAGTATTGGATGTTTGGTATTTGGTGCTTGGTGCTTGGTGTTTGATGCTTGGTCCACTGAGAATTAAGTTTTAAGCAACACTTGTTTTAAGCGAACATAATTGTTGCTAATAATGGCTTATGCTCGTACGGCTTGCCAAATAAGTATTACGTGCAAAAATTGGATGATGGTTACTTTAATGTGTAGTTGACATAGGATAAGGTTAATTGCAGCAATTAGTGCAACATTTTTTTTATAGTTGAAAATATTAACTTCATTTTAGTATCATGTATCTTTGAAATACAATTCTCAAAAATAGATATTGTAGATATATTCGAACGTATTTTAACTACTGCATTTATAACATAAAAATTGCACTATTCTTTTTATTAAATTTTAAAGTCAGACATATTGACTGTTGTTGGCGGGGTATGAGTTCAAACCTTGATACTTGCAGTTTCAAAAAATTATTTACAAATAATTAAATATAAGACATAATTTCCAAGACCACTGATGATAGGTGTCTGGCAATACTCAAAATAGTTGTATGGTTAGCCAAAAATTCAATTAATTAAAATAATATAAAAAGATTTTTTGTTGCTGTAGTTCACTACTGTTCGAAACCTTTTTACTATTCTTTTATTTTACAACAAAATTATTGAATATAGGCTTGAAAATAGAGTTAATTACAGATTTCAATAAATTTTTGTTATTTTACGTAATAACCATCTTGTTGATATCTAAATGTAAGAAAAAATAATCCCTCAGATAACCTGCCAATAACCACCATTCCGTTCTACTGACGATAAGCATCGCTTGATCTCTTGAGGAGGCTGCTGGCGTCCTGGCCTCCTGATACCATTACAACAAGATTTAATTTTCTGTAACAGAGAAAAGAAGGAACTTCTAGTCAGATTTTTTATGACAGGTAGTTTATGACAGTTTTGATTAATGACGATAAAAAAATGCTATTTTGGATCATTTGTTCAATTAGAGTGCAGAGTCCTTTTATCTTTTATTCTCGTCATTTCAACAAGATTTAATTTTCTGTGACAGAGACTTTAATTTTCTATGACAGGACTTCTAGTCACTATCTGATTTTTTATGACTATCTGATTTTAATTAAAGACGTTAAAAAAGCGATTTAGAATCATTTGTCGCAGTATGCCGTTTCAACGAGAGTACAGCAGAATCCCTTTATATGTTTTACTGTCCTCAATTACACAAAGCAGGGCTATCCAATCCAGATGAGTTCGCGGGCCAATACAAATCACTGTCCAGATTGGAGAGCCGCAGAAACAAATATATGCGTTTATAATTGTTTTGGAGAAAAATAAAAATACGGTTAATAATGTAAAATTTAGTTTTATTAATTTAAAATCATTTATTTGTTAACCCATAAAAATAAAATAATATAATTTTACTAAAGTACACCAAAAGAAACAATTTATGCAATTGTGGTAGATTAGAAACATTTCCCGGGCCGTGCGCCCCGCTTTGGACAGTCCTGACCTAAAGTGTAATTACTAAATGTAAGATACAAATATATAAATCTTTGACAATTTCTGTTTTTGTTAAGCGGGGTATATACTTCTTAATTAGATTATTGATATTAAATTTTATAAGAAGTTATAGAATGCTTTATTATTAAATCTTTATTAGATGAATTGTTTTAAACTTAGTAGAACACCAATACATTCGAAATCAAAAGAAAATATATCTCCATAATGATCCCCACTAGCTATGCAAATACATTATCGTAATTAATTTTGTATATCTTTAGTTAAAATTTTTCGCTTTGAAAATTATTTATTAACAAAGTGAGTGGCACCTTTGTTAAAGCTAGAAATGAGATATTTTAAAGCTTTGCTCAAGATTAGATGAATTCAAGTTCCTTCGAATAAAATGTGGACAATCTGATATGTTCTTTGTAAGAATTTGTGAGAAAAAAAATGCTAGAATTTAAAAATATTAATATTGTTCACATTTTATCTACTTCCACAATTTTATTCAATTTAAAAACTGTAAGCCGAATAACTGATATGGACAGCAAGATTTTAAATCGTGAGAACCATTAATGTAGATTCCCACTTAAGGAGGGTAATTTTATTGTTTACATGATTAATTATAAAAACCTAAATTTAAAAGATAGAAAACCAAAAGTAGTTAAATCTTTAGGTAACAAAAAAGTCTTTCAAAAGCATTATCATTATAATAAAAGTAAACGGATCATCTTTTTTTGTAGTTTAAATATACAGTCTCCTATATGTTTAAATGAGATTTTTCCTCTTTTGAAAATATCTCAAAAGGAAGATCTTTACAATTCATTACACTGATATATTTCTAAACATACTAAGTAAAAAAAAAAATTCAATTGTATTGTCCGTAAGTAAGAATTTGAATTGTAAGCTCCATCACATCGTCTCTTTTATCTGTTTCTTACTAATAAATATAGATATTAGGAAAAAACGATTTCTATATAATTAATTATATTTTTGTAAGGAAAAAACATTCTTCTTCAATTCGAAAGTAATTAACATTTTTTTAATTACAAAACTATTATTTTAAAATTGAAATGCTATTAGAAAAAATGAGCATCCTCAGTCGAAAAACATAAATTCGATTAAATTGAAATAACAAAGCTTTTATTAAGCATTTCGACTATATCACATAAAACAATTTTTATTTGCTGTTAAATGAATTTAATTTTCTGACAAGATCTGCAAAGTTCATATTTCAACAAAAATATAAGTAATTTGTCCGTCATGAATAAACCATCCATTATTCGCGCTGTATCACGTTTTGTTGTTAAGATTTAAATAATTTGAAGTGAAGAGTTTTTTGTGCACGAATTTCCATCTTACGGACATAAGCTAAAGTATTTAACTTAAATATTTTTCTATCTTAATTAAATTGTTAAAAATTGTTTTAATAAAATATAAAACTTGAAATTTCTTTCAGGCCACGAATGATACAACGACTTGTTGCAGGTCATATACAGAATGCAGAAGGACGGTCAACGTTTGAGATATCTACAGTTTCGACGAATAGCAGTGTTTCCGCCAGCTCCAGCTCCAATTCTAAAAATATCGTGCCCTTGTATCGTCGAAAAGAAATGGTACTTAGTAGTTCTTTTAGAAAATCTAAAACAACTACATCTACACCATCAACAATAACAATTACGACGACACCAAATAATTTAACTCATAATATAAGCACAATTTCTCTAAATCACGATGATTATGACGATGATAATGATGATGAAGCTTTGCTTGATGATGCTGGTGATTTTGATAATTGGGATAATGGTATTTTGCGTTTAAGCGCTGGTTCAGGTAAGGAAAGTTCAGCTAAATCGAAAAAAAATAAAGAAGATTCCAAAAAGACGTTATCGGATCAAGTCCGCGATGGAAAATATGGTTTAATCGAAAAAGAAATATTTCGCCGCGAACCTAAGCGTCCAGGTGTTTTAAGCTATTTGCCAAATAAGGAAGTCCCTTTTGACAATGAAAGAAACTATGGTGGTTTGAATGAGGAAGATATTTGGTTAGCGGAAGATCATTTACTTGTTATTAAAGGCGGTAGTTTAAATGAGGACAAGCTTGATGAACCGTGGCCTCCCATTGATGATTATGATGCACCAGGGAGACAAATTAAAATCCCGAAGCATCCGAAAGTTCCGCCACCATTTCCTGTCCAGCTCGAAGAAAACGGACCGATACAGTTTATCGGAAATAATAAATTCACGGTCGTCTATCCGGTCACTAACGAATCGTTACCAATTTATCCCGTCGGCCCAGAAACCAACTACGCGTCGCCCGAAAATGATAGTGACGACGAGAAAAATCTTATTACCGGGACACGATCGCCTCAAGATACTACGAAAGCTGAACCGGGTTACCTCTACCCGGCGCCCTATCCACCGTGGCTATATCACAACCAAACATTTGTTAATCCCATCTTAAGTAATACTCGACCAATCAATTTCCCAAGCTTAGGACCATTTCCTTTTGGTAGGAATGGTTCGCTTGAAAATTCTAATGGTACCGATTATTTCGATGAGGATGATCCATCCCTTTATTATCCACCAGCATATAGTTTTGTATACAAAAACAACTATAGCAACCCTGTACCTCCTGGACCGATTGTTCCAGGAATTGTACTACCACCACCTCCGGAACAGTTTTCGCGATTAGAAAAAGAAGAAAAGATAACTACATCAAGTCCACCTCCATCAACCACATATTTGCCTACTCGACATAGAATTTATTCTACAACATCTGTGCCAACTACTATTTCCACAACAACAGCAATCCCTCACCGGCAAGTTATAACAAAAATATCTGAATACACTCCAAAAACTATTACCATCACACCAATTCCAACGACAGTACCGACACCTATTCAAACGAAAACAGTTGTGAGATTCCCACCATCTCCACCACCAACTCCAATTTCTTCTGTTACACCACCTGTTGAACCAGTTCCAGTTCCAGTTGCTGTGCCAGTGCCAATATACCCATCTAATCATTATCAAACTGAACGACCAAGTATTGTGTCTTTTGTACCTACGACACCTTCATCTACAACAGATACACTATCTAAGTCCAATCCTATATACTACGAATATGTTGAAGCGAAACGTAAACCAACCACATCTAATGTTATTGATGACTTTTTATCTACTACAAATAAGCCTCCTGTTTCTGAAAGACCAGTAAAACTGTATCCAGCTAATAAACGTCCGTCTAAAGGACAAAATCATCGTCATTACTTACCAGCCAATCGTCCATTCATACAAGAAAATATTGTGTATATTACTCCCAAACCAGAAGTACGCTATAAACCGCCAACACATGTTACGCTCTATAAGCCTCGACCATTGGAAAACTTTGAAAATGAAGTCAATGCAATACGCGAGACACTGCGCTACTATCAAAATCAACAATTAAGAGACAATAATATACCACGAACACCGAAGGCAAAAACTGTGTATGAGTACTCATTTGATGCCACCAAAAACCTGCAACCAGTACAACCTATTGCAAATGATGACTTTAAGCCTCCAACAGAATTTGATGATCAACCCTTTCAACCAATGGTTACCTATAGTCCACCAGTCGATGATGAAAATTCATTCCGCGCTGTTGCTTTTGATAAGGTGGATAGTAAAACGCAAGAACAACCGCAACCGAAATATCAAACTTCCACGACTTTAATTCCGGTAGAACCAGAGGCACAATATCAACGTACTTCTCAAGGTAGATCTAAAAAATTACGATTAACTGCAAAATATCTTGAACAACCACTTGTTGCATCATATCAACGGCAGCAACAACAACAAGATCCAAGAATTTCTCAGGAGTTTCAGAGTACACCAAGAACTATATTAACAACACAAGCTCCGTGGGCTTCTATAGATGAATCAAGAATAACTGATTATAGACATCCACAACAACAACGTGAACAATATGAACGTGTACAAATACCATACAAGAATCGATTTCCCGGTTATTATTACGGTCCTCCTCAACCGCCGATACGTCAAAATAATCGATTCTACGATGAACCATTTCAAGGTCCGGTGCGTAAAATTATAAATTATCGTCCACCTCTACCGCCCGCTCAGCAGCATCAACAACAACAATCACCGGTTTGGAGTTTAGAAAACGATACATATGTAAATTATGCACCTAATCGTCCACCACTTAATCCCGAAGCTGAATTTATTGATCCTTATCAAACAATACCATTAAATCCATATCGAAATCAGGGCCCCCGCTTACCATTACCACCACTTTCACATCAATCCCAATATTATGCACCGCCACAGCGGCTATCACCGTCATTACGTCAACAACAACAACCACATTCTCTACATCGTGATATTTTAGTGAACTACAGACAGCCTCTACCACCACTGAATCCAGAAAGTGAATATATTTCACACCCACAAGTGGTACGTAATCAACCACAGCAAGTTTATAGAGAGAATGATTATAGACAACTACCGAATGTTGGTGAACAAGGCAATGTCTATTATATTACACCAAAATATCGACGAGCTTTTAACAGTAATAATAATAACAACAATAATAATAATAATAAAAACAATAATGCTAACACAGGAGGTGAAAATAATGGAAAATAATTGGACCCTCTTTTAAACATTGGTGTCAAATACTTGATATGGCTGTGTGCATGTGATGTCTGTTTGAAAGGAATGAATGAGATATGAAGATTGTGTATTAAAATATAGTTAGATAGTTCAGTATATTATTGATTCTTTTGAAATTCATATTTGATATGTGATTTATTGTAGAGACATAATTATTAATTTATATTTTTATAATGTATAGGTAATATATGATCAAAGAATAAAACTAAATATAATGTCAATGGTATTTCTTTAGAAGTTTTAATGATAGAAATTAGTTTGAACGTTATTGTTAAAATATTCCACTTCATATAACTTTTTATGAAGAATTGAAACATGAAATCATTCTTAGTTTCTTTTTATAAACAAATTTTCTTTGACTTTTACCTTTTATGCATATCTATCTTTAGATCTTTATCTTTATTTATCTTTATTGTCTTTATTATCTTTATCTTTTATTTATCTTTATTTTGGATTAATATTCTAATGAAGTGTATAAAAGTCTATTTGTCATTATTGAACATTAAATAATAATACACATATTGTGCTATCACAAGATATTCAAAAATACTTTTTTTTAAATTAGAAGTGTTAGTAACTAGACCTTAATTTCTTTTCTATCAAAGTTGAGACAATATAATCTGCGAGGACACGTTTGTTAACATAAGCAAAAAGGACTAGAAATCATATTAAGAATATATGCAAACGCTTACTTAATCTTTAAAGTCTTGGAATAATGTCAGATACTTGGAGTTTATAATCATATGATTTTATGTCATATATCATAGATGAAGAATTTAAGCATTTTGTGCTTCCTTATCTTTTTATTTCTCAGATCCGGCAAAAGGATAACACTTGATTCGAACTAATATGTTTAATAAATTAAATTTAATTTAAAGAATTAACAAATTAATATTATTTTTATGCTATATTAGAAATGATTTTTAATCATTGCCCTTAAAATTTCATAGTGTAGCTTTAACTATTATAAATAAAACGCTAGTGTAGTTTACGACAAAAATTTGCTCGAATATTGATAGATTTTATAATATATATATAGGATATGTATAACGTTTTTACAATATAAGATCTTGTCAAAAATTAATATTTGCATAATAAAATTTATTAAAGAAAAATTGTAAATAAATATTGAAAATAATAAAATGTTTAACAAACTATAAAAATGTAAGCCATAAATAATAAGTTCACTAATAAAATATATCAAAATTTTTGATAAAAATAAATAAGCAAAACATCCTTCTCCGATTAAAAAATGATTTAAGGAAATTATTTAAAAGAAATTTAATTTTATTTTAATTGTTGTGCATGTATGGAAAATGTATCAAATGAAATAAATTATTAAAAAGAAAATTTTGTTTTAATTTTCATGTGCGTTATATAAGAATACTTTTAATTTAATATCCAGACATATATTAGGTGTGTCAATGGTCTTAATATGAGAGGGTAAAAGTATTCAATCAATAAATCGATTGAAATTACTTTTAAAAATACTCCCATTTAAAAATTGACCTCACTTACCTGTGCAAGGATAAATGATAAAAATATACACAACATTTGTGTAGAACGATTACCTGCAGAGGGTATTTTTAAATTTACTTTTAAAATAAATTACTATGACATAAATATTTTATTGATGATTGTACTTATTTTTCCCTAGTATAGGTTTAAACGTATATAGATAAATTTAACGTATCTGGCAGTTCAGATATAATATCAACACAAATATTTTTTAGTATTTATGACAGTTGTATTTTACTTTGCATTATATATCTCATATATCTCTCACATCTAAAAGCCTAATATATACAGGTAATCTATTTATGATCAGACAAGTACTCACACCAAAGCAGTAGTTGCATCAGAAAAACTAAAAACTGTCTCCACCGACATCTTCACTGAAAAGAAATATGAATACTCGCAACCTAATATAGGACAGCAACATCCAAATATGCAATTTGAAAGTTATATCTTAACTACTAAAAATATAATAATAATATTATTAGAAGTATGTGTTTTTTGTAAGTATTGTTATACTAAGAATCAGTAAATAATTTTACTAGAACTTTCATAAAGCTATTAACATACTTCAGAAAACTGTGATTAAAACTAATGTAAGGTGGAATAAAATATTCAATTGGATTCGTTTCCAATATGAACCTTTTCAACAAAATTTTGAAGTTACAACAGCTACATTTACATACTAAATTAATAGGTCTGTATTACATATATAAAATTTGTGTACATTCAACCCAGAACAAATTTTAGTGGCTTAATACAACCGACTTTTGCGTTTTGTACCATTTAAAGTATTTGTCTATATAAAGATTCACGGTATAATTATAAGTGCTTTTTAACAAAAGATTAGCATTATATATAAACATAATTTTCCTATTTTTTAGTTGGACTGTAGTTACAGTATATTAATCTAAAACGTTTCATGTTATTAAGTTGTTAGCAGAATAGTTATATATACTAGATTTACTGAAGAAGTTAATATCTACTTTCTTTTCAAAGATTTGATGAAACTTAGCAAAAGTCAACTTTCATGTTATAAAGATAATCAAAATATCTATTCCATTTAAACTATGATTTGCAGAGAGAGTTTTCATATAACAAACACATTTTATTAAACATTAAACCTTAAACTTGATTTATTTAGGTAAGCTAGATACGTATTATATATTAGCAAATTTACTTTTCATAGACCAATAGCTGCCTACCATACCCTACTCTTCACAGTCGATACATGTCAATACTCATTATCTTTATTAGATTATCTAACAATTCATGATCCAAAAGCCCACAAGATATTGATAGAGAGTATGTAGAATATTCTATTTTTTTTGATACAATCATATCTCCTACAAATTTAATCCGTTAGGTCTGACAATGTGTTCACTAATTTAAATTCCCTATTACTTTTCTTAAGGATGAAGCTAAACCAATAATATGACTACAATTACTTTAAGCCTAAATAAATTAAACAACAATCTTCACATTACGAAGTTTTTTACATACACCATCCTTGAACTTTATATTAGATCTTACTTCTGAAACATCTTTAAAGCATCTGAAATGTTTAATATTTTTAGGGCTGATTTTGGTGACATTCTAAAGATATTTTTTATCCCTTTTTGAATACTTTGCTCTGATTACAGAATGTGGGATAATTTTTTCAATCAAGATACTCTTCAAAAGCATATTTAGTGCAATTTTCATTTTCGATTGGTGAATCTGGAGCATAATGTATAACACTCAAGATTTTTTTATAACACTCTAGATATTTTGCCAGAGTAGCAAGATTACCCTGAAATTGACACCTGTTTTATATGACTTGACAAATAAACTGTGATTTATTCAACATATGTATTTATGAAAAATATAAATGTCTACTAACACGACTAAAAAAATGTTAGATTACTCCAAAAATGTTCGATTGGGCAACAAAATTTGAGAGTGAATCTAGATTGAATCCAGATTTACGAATCAAAAACTCCATTAATATCTTGATAGAGTTTATTCGTACTATTTCTAGTTGATTAAGTCTTTTGAAATCGAGAAACACGATTTTAATGGTATTTAACCTGACTTTTTTCCAAGCATAAAAATTATATAAACTTTTTTTAATTGTTCAAAAAGTTGTATATAGAAAATACACACATCTATTGTCAACTTTAATAATACGTTATTTTAAATCTTTTTTATATCTAAATAAGGAGATTCTTTTTATTTCTTTTTTCATTTTTTAGAATTCTAAAATAACTTTTTTAAATAATTCTTATTTAATAAAATAAAATTTAACGTTAGTTACGATGTGAATATTAATAGAAACTACTATTTAATAGAAACTATTGTATTTTATACAAAAATTATTTTTAATATTATATAAATAATTGAATTTTTGACTGTACATACACAGCTGCTTCGAGTATTGTCAATTACCTACTTTTAGTGGTCTTAGAATTATTTCTTATATTCAATTATTCTTATTTAATTATTGTAGTTTACTACTTTTCGAAACCTCCCTACTAATTTTTTAGTGAACTATAAATTTAAGTATGAAGGAATAATAACACCGAAGCATGTACTAATTTTATACTTATTTTTTTACAAATATTTTTAGTTTCATTATTATAAAAATTTATTACAAAAAATTCTCCAGTTACTATTATTTTAGAAGGATTTAATTTAAGAACCGCAATGTGAACCTTACTTCGAATTATCATATCAAATTGTTAAACGTTTATAAAATAAATTTTCAAAAACCACCCTGTATGATTAAGACTTGTACATTATTAATGGTTTTCTTTGTTTTGTTTTCCTTTTTTATTAGGTGTTGCTATTTTTAAATAAGTGACTACTTGTTTTTAACAATTATAATTTAATATTTAAGCAGGTGAGTGTTTTGCTGTTGGCAATACTTAAATGACAAGCTCACACTTGTTCACTCTCACACTGCCTCTTCGCTCTCACACTTCCTGTCAATTCACCTACTAAATGTACAAGGATAACAAGAATTGCAAGCACATGTTGACATAAACACACACCAGCACACACAGCTAGCCGTACACTTCCTCTCTCTCTCGTTCTCTCTCCAGAAAGGTTATTCAAATATTACAATTTGTCGTAGGCCCAAAGAGGGCGCCTGCGTGCTTATGAGTTCCTGCTTTTTTTGCTATTGTATTTACAGCTCGTCCTTTTTTCAAGAAGTCAGTGTAACAGAACCGTTTCGCACGCACAAGAGCGAAACAACAAAAATCGATTCATATCAGCACTGCTCGCTAAGCGTGATAGGAAAGAATAAAAAATAATAATACACTTAAAAGGACTATTTTCTTCATTAAGTCAAAGGAAGACGTTAACGACGATAAACGACAGAATTGCACGAACCTCACGAAAGTAAAAAACATTTTCGAGTGGAAAAGTGATGATTTCAATTGGTTTGCTTTGAATAATAAAATGTTTATGTTAAATAAATAAATAAAGAAGTTCTTAAGATAATAATACACAAAATAATTATTCAATAAAATAAGTTCAGAGAGTTTAATTTCAAAATTATAGAATGACAAGTCAAATACGAAGGTAGTGTAGCGTAAAAATTCTCAAAGGTGTGTTACCTAAAAAAAGAAATAATTTGTATAAAAATATTAAACCTCTTTAAAATGACTCAAACGTGTTGTGCTTTTCATGACTCTAACAGAGCTTTGTTAGCGTTCATGAGGTCTTCAAAGTAATCTAAAAATACATTTCAAATTGCCAAATTTAAATCAATACATTTAATAATCAATCAATCAATCAATGGAAAAATGGTAACGATGACTTCAGAAGTGGACAAAACTCAAACTTCTAAGGCTACCATGGCTAGTAAACCGAACGCATCCACTACTTTCACATCTACTGTCACTATTGAACATACTAACGGCAATGCTATTACGGATGACGTTAACACAACAATAACAAATGCTACTGTAAATCAAAGTGCAATAACAACAACAATAACTACGACTAATACCTTAACAACAACAGTAACTGAAACTGAAACCGCAACAACAATTACTAATAATGGCACAATCGGTACAAATGCAAACAACACGACAACTAACAGTGCCTGCACGTCCAACACAAATAGCACCGGCAGCGTAAGTGTTACTGTTCCAACGGGTACATTAGGAACTGCAAGCTCTGCTACGGCATCGGGGAGTAGAGCGGGTGGAGTGAGCGGTGTTAGTGGTATTTATAGCATCGAAAGTGATAGCCAAACATTAAAAGCACCGAGCCACAGTGCGGGAGGTTCAAAAGCATTACATTCAAATGCGAAGACGACACCATCAACAGTTCCACCGCCTCCCAATCAATATAAGAAAAGTGAAGACTCACCAAATGTGTTAGTGTACAAGAAGGTAATCAAATCAACAGTTATATTAACGCATGTTTGTTTTATATACTCATACCCTACGTTCTTACATGTACATCACCCCGTGCCAACGTACTACAACAGATGGAATCTATTATTGAGAAAATGCAAGCAGAATCAACTGGTGTAACTGTGCGCACTGTGAAAGCGTTTATGAGTAAAGTTCCTTCGGTCTTTACAGGGGCTGATTTAATTGCTTGGATTTTGAAGAACTTCGACGTGGATGATGTGACGGAAGCATTACATTTTGCACATTTACTTGCATCGCATGGTTACATATTTCCTATCGATGATCATCAACTAACTGTCAAAAACGATGGTACCTTCTATAGGTAAGTGTACAATGTAGGCTATAACGTCAGGATCTGAGTCACAATCGCGTGTGTCACTGTCTTTTTCTTTGAAATTTATTGCCGCAATATAATCATTGCGGGTGGTCACACTAATTAATAAGTGCAGTCATCCTGCGGTTCTTTTATTGCCTTTTTGCTGTCAGACATAATTGTAGTTCATCGAATAGAAATTATTTTCTTGCATAATATACACAATTAATTGTCCTTTCAAATTTTTGTTTTTACTATTTAATATTTTTTTATGGGCGCTATTATTATTTAAAGTGGATAGAAGAAACCATCAAATGATTAACAAAACTGAATTAAACGAAAGCTTAAATATCGAAGTTGTTAACTAGGTATTAGGGTTTAAATTTGTTACAGTTTAAAAATATTGGGAATATTATTCCTTTAAAAGAACTTAAAAGGAATGCTGATCCTTTTGAATAAGGCTCCTTTATTACAGAAACTGGAAAATATGCAGGCATATTATTGAATAAAAAATAGTATATAAAATAAAAGTGTTGCCATTTATTTTCGTACTATACATCGAAAGTTTTAGAAATAAGTTTATTTTTAATATTAATTAAATTAGTAATTTTGCCTTTGCCTTTGATAATTGTATAATGACTATATAAATTGAAAAATGTTCTATACTTGGATCTATCATAATTCTAATAATGAGCACTAGCACATTTGTATAGATTCAGAAATGCTCTTAATTCTGTACATAGAGAAAAAAAATTAACAACAAAAAACTTTTTTTAAGACGCTTATGTAGTCAAACAATAATTCAAGGCAATGCTCGGATATTTGAATGTTCCTAAAGTCTTCTAGTAAACTATATTACTCGTTTTAGCTTAAGTAAACCTAAATCATTTTGTTATTTTTTTAAATACCAAATAATAAGCCGGTTACGATGTATTAAAAATCGTAGCCAGTGCGTTCCCTAAAAAGCAAAACGGAGGTTTCTGGTTCTCTGACAGGACTCTTCAGTATGCAGTACCATTTTTACAAAATAATAGTCCAAATTCAAAATAATGACCAGGAGAGAATATTACGACTGATGTTCTTTTCCCTTTCTAAAGTTTGGAATGCTTTCATGAACGATATTTACTTATCCAAAAAACCTTTTATATCAAATAAGAGTAATCGCATTATTTGTTATTTATTGAAGGATGTGACCTTCACATAAATCACATGTAATTTTAATCGATCTTACAAGATTTAATCGAATAAATGATCATCTATTTGTATACCTGTCTATTATTTTTAGTAAAGAAAAATTTTTATTTTTGAGTTATTGTATAAAAGCTTACACAGAAAATTTTAATGAATCCATATTGATCAAGTCAACGATTGAATTAATTTTTCATTAACTAAAAATATGTCCACACTCCTTTTTACGAGGGTGATGACTTTACTTATTAAACTATGTGGTTATTCACCCTGATTGTTCTAAGACAATCAGTTCTGATTGTTCTTTTTTATTCTACCATACTTCCAAGGAAGTTTGAGGAATGTAAACACGTGTGGGTGTATTTTAAAGTGTGTTACAAATCATTTTTTTCGTCCTGCTATTTATATTACATATTATGTTATCGGTTTATGGTTTATATGAATATATGTAATGTAAAATTAATTTCACAACTAAATCTTGAAATTGAAACTTAAGAGCTAAAAATCAAATTTCAAAAGCTTTAATAATTATAAAAAATTTGGTCATTTAATTTTTTAACATAATTCTGTTTAGTTGTTTTTGAAGAAAATTATTATAAATACATAAATTATTTTTCAAATTTTAAGCTATTCAAAACTGTGTTGTAATAAAAAT